ATAAACATTTCAGAAAGAAATAAGATAGTAAGAGTAATTATTTCATTCTGAAATTTAATAAACCCTTTTTTATGCGATTTTTACTATATTGTAACTCATTGATTTAGTTTTATGCGGTTTTAAATAAATTATGGAACGTATCTTTTATTTTTATTATACGTGTGTCTAGTCCTTTTTTGTGCGATTTATTTTTATGCGTTTTCTACCGCATAAAAAGAGAACCAAGTGTACAAATCTTTCAGGTGTACCAATACCTGATATATATTTATTATGTTGCTTGCTATGTAAATATAAAAATGTAAAAATTAAAAAAAAAAACCTTAGAAACCGAAAGTTTTTTTTTTTAATAAATCAAAAAGTATACATCAACGTGTTGAAATAAAATAATAGTATTTACTTTAAAAGTTAACAAATTACTGTAGCGTAGTGTTAATAAGGTTATTTCGAAGATGTGAAAGTAATGCAACCAATAAATTGAATGGAAAACCAATTGATTTTGTGAATTGGAAGCGTCATGAATTATTCAGACGTTCGCTTCGGTAACGCAATGGACATTTTAGTGCCATTCGTGGAAATTGGCGATTTTTGTTTACTTGAATCTTTCGAAAGGAGAAAAAAAATAAACGTTATTTTACATTTTATAGTCAGTCAATGAACTGTAATTTTTACAAGTTTCTTAGCAATATAACTTGTTCTGTTAAAGCAGTTGTATAATGCTTCATCATGATGAAAAATACAATATTTATGACTGATTCGTTGATTTAAATCATATTAATAAAAAAAATTTGGTAGTGATATAGTTTTTCTTTTTTTGATATGGGTAGAAGATGCAACAAATTTTTGATATAATAATATTAAACATTAAATCGCTTGGTTGAAATATTTGTTGATAGATTTCCGCCATATATTAACAAAAGTAAATCAAGATATCTAAAACACTAGCAGTTGTTTTGGTAGTGTAGTTTGGTACTCTAGGAGTTGGAAAGGTGGTAATTGTTTCTGGCTGCTTAAATTGTTACTCTGTAATGATTAGGTGTATTTCTGTGGTCGTTATTGGTTTTGTTGTTCACTGACTTTGGCATGTGCCATGGTAGGCGATCGCTAGGTTGGTGTTTCGAAGTCTGCATGAGCGCTTCCTCAGCCTGCAGGAGTTCTTGTAGGATCGACCGTCGGTGCCGCAGACCGGACCCTTCGTATATCTCTTGCCGTTGGGATCGGAACGACCGCACTTCGGAGAGCAGACGCATCTGGGTCTGCCACCCTTCACCACGCATACTTTGTCTTTGCCGCAATCCACGTCGTCGCAAGTATCTGCAAAATTCAATAAAACATACACATCGATGTATTACTATTACATCTTGTTGCATTCAGATAGTGTAAATCAGTGATTCTAGTTGATTTTTCTACACATATCCATTCTTTTTATGTCCAAAAGGTATGAGAATCACTGAAATTTTATCATAGAAAGTTTCACATCTTAAAATCGTTTTATTGGCTTCAAAACTTGTGATCAAAATCAAGTGTCCACAAAACAAATTTGTCTATTTTATTAAAACCATAAGAACAAAAATAAGTTTTTCAATAAAATTATATGTATTTTTTCTTAAATATTTGTAATTAATTTATATTAGACATAGGAAATACACGTCTTTGTTTGAAAACCAGAGAGAGAAATTTGGTGGAATTTTTTTTGCAATTTTTGTCTTACATATTTAGACCAAATGTAAAAACAAATATGCGTATCTTTTCATATTTAGAATAGTATTTTTATAAAACAAAATACAAAAATGTTGGTTAATTTACTTTGAAATCATTAAAAATGATCACAGAAGTTTTAAATGAAATACGTATGGTTATGTAACTCAAATTACGTAAGTGCAGTAGAAGTAGAACATTGCCTAAAATTGGGTATACAGTTAACCCTCTTATAACGCGGTGAGTGCGTATATGGAAACCGCGCTATAAGAAACTCGGAATTAGTACAAATCACATCATTTATACTGCGTCATATGGAGACCAATAAATACAAAAGACAAGATAAATTATAAATTATTTAAAGATTGATAAAAAAAATGAAACAAGAACTAAACTAAAAGACTGTTTTTCAACAAAAACAATGAAGACTTTTGTAAAATTAACTCGTCTTCTTTTAATGGGAAAAATGTCTTCATCACTTAGTTCATCTTCACATTGGTTTTCGATTATAGCTTTTTTTCTAACTCCACTAAAACCTCTCTATAGAAGAGAGCTAAGCAATTTCTTAACTCTCTTTTAAACTTTGCTCTGCGCACCGTTGAACGATTAGTTTAAATGAAATGAAGTTCTAATTCTTTAGCCAAATTTAGCCCTTTTTTCACATCTTGTAAATCGAGATTTGGCACCCATTCGTTTTCCTTATTTTCGTTTACCAATGCATTTGAAGTGGATGCATCAATTAATTCCATCAGTTCTTCCTCATCTAAAGTTTCTTCCCCGAGTACTAGTTCTCTTACAACCTGATGGTTTACTGCAAATCCTTCATCGCTTAAACGAGAAGCAACGTTTACTATTTCTGTAACTGCGAGTGAAATTGTAGAATCATCTTGTATTGAACCATTTGAGGTAAAAGAGGTTTCCAACAAGAATTAAGCATTGACTGTATATTTCGGGTGATGCTAATAATACACGTACATCATTGTTTCGTGGTTTGATTTTAACCGAATAATTTGCATAATCTCAAAAATCTACACAAAATATATTGCGTGGCATTATTGCAAAAACGTTTATTTGTGCCAAAATGTGGTCATTTAGGTCACAGGTCTTTAAACTTCTGCAAGCATTTCGCAAACCCAATCGTAACCATACGTCTTCTAAAAAGTTTATTAATAAACTAAAATGTATTTGAAAACATTTACATTTTACACCATGAATTATGTATGTACGGAAATTGAAAACTATTAAGTTGAGATCAATTGTTTCCTGAGGAGATCTAGATGAATGGACGACGTTTATAATTATAAAAGCAAGAACGAAGGTATTTTAAATAGGCTCGATCGGTGTAATATTAAATAACTAATGGTGCTAATAATGTTAAGGAAATTATTATTAACGATGCGGACGATCCGTGCTTTTAATGGACCATTTATCATTGAAACCTATTCGATTAATTTAAATTACGACAATTATTCAAATACCAATAATAATCGTTTCTTTCTTTCTTTCTTTCTTTCTTTTTTTGCACTTTACAAACAGAATGTCGTTGTTTCTTCGCGATGACGGATGTCGATTTATGAGGAAAGATAGTATTGGATAATTCGAACTAAGATGATGATGATGATGAGTGGTATTCGTTGTATTTGTACCTTTACATGGTGAACATGGTACTCCTCCTCCTAAAACCCTCCAGAAGAAAAGTGCTCCGGCGCCGAGCACTTCCTTGGACCAAGCAGTTGCGACACCGAAATTAGCGCAACATTCTTCTCTGGTGCTGTTATTTAATGCCTCCAAGCATCTTCCGTTTTTCGCCATGGCCGTCCAACACGTTCCACCTGCAACAAAGACATCAAAACAATATTACACACATAATTATACAAAATCGACGTCAATCGAATTGCAATTACAATTAACCATTAACTAAAGAAATTGATTGAAAAATAGTAAAATATGAATATTCAATAAACATTAAACGTTAACATATTGTTAATTAATTAGAATGATTTAATGTATAACAATTATGTAAATTGACGTTCTTGTATGAATACAAATGGTAGATTATGTTAGGAATGACTAATGAGACTGGAAACCAACAATAAATAGATGTATATATTGATAATATGATCCACTTTTATATACTCATAATTTATTTAGATGTAAAAATTGGAAATAATCCATTTTCATTATCCTATTAATAAGTAGAACATAAATTAAAATATTAGAAGGAATCATTATTAAAATATTGATTCGAAGAAATGAATAATTAATTAATAATTTATCGAATGAATTATAACTTTCTGGTATGAAAATTAAAAATATTGAATTAGTGAAGAGAAGTAAACGAACATTTGATTTCTATATAAAGGGAAATACACTCGGTCCTCTTTTTATGCGGTTTTTATTTCATGAAGCATTTTTTTTAAATAACTATTTTAGGCCGTTTTGACACAAATTGGCAAACCATTTAATCGAAAACGATGATAATTAGAACGTTCGAAAAAGCAGTGTTTTACATTCCTGTGCTCTTATCCATATTGCTGTAATACGCGTTCAAAGTTGAAGAATTGGAATTAGAACGTTCGAAAAAGCAGTATTTTCACATTTCATTGATTTACTCGAAAACTATAATAGATAGAATGAATCCAATATATGGAAAGCTGAATGTTTGGGGAATCCAGCAAGTATAGATACATTCCTGTGCTCTTATCGATATTGCTGTAATACGCGTTCAAAGTTGAAGAATTGAAATTAGAACGTTCGAAAAAGTAGTGTCTTCACATTTAATTGA